TTAAAATCAGAGAACTTCAGTCAGGATGAAAGTTTAAACGTTGACTCGTTTTAGCTCGATGGAACACAGAGAGGTTAAAGCTGCGGTTCTGAACCCAAAGTTTGGGCTTTTGCCATCCAGCTGTTTTGAAGCAGAACCGCGTCAGAGGGCGGAGCTGGAGAGAAGTTGGTTAAAGGTTAAAAAGTCTGTGCATGTATAGATTATTTACTAGCTGACCATAAAGAGAGAGAGCAGCAGAATTCAATTAATGTTTAAGGATTCAAAAAGTTACAAAAGCCTAGAGAGGAGCAAATGCTAAGCTAGCAGCTAACGCACTGTGCTAGCTTGGTTAGCATGGTGCATCACAGTATTTGGGATATAAATCTGAAAAGCTCATTTTTGCAAGAGGAAAGAAAGGCTTCGGACAAAATGTTTTTCAAATTTATTTTAGCAAAACTGATTGCTGAACAAGACTTTTCATGTCGTTGTGGCAGCAGCTTGTCAATCACAGGTAGCCCCGCCCTGACTCCTCCCCTGCTTTCTGGTCCGTTTGTCTCAAAGTGGGATCATAAGTGACTAAATAAACATCGTGCTGTGTTGAGGAAGACTTGAAACTAGACATTGAGACAGTAAACTAATTATTATAAAGTTTACTGGGAGGATAAATCAGCTGAGAATTAGGAACATGTTGAGCCTTTTTGTGACTTGCTGATTCGCCCCCTGCTGGCCGTTAGAAAGAATGCAGATTTAAGGCCTCCCTTTGGAATCCGATTCTAAAAACAGTCTATGGTTAAAGCCTTAAATCCAGGTCAGGTGTGAGCCGGGCAGGCTAAATTCTTCATCGGGTTGTCTCCACTTTTCTTCTATCTTTGTGTTCTGGCTCAGTCCCTCAGACGTCCACATGTGGGTCAGTGGAGCTCTGGCAAAGCTGCACACAGGGGAAGATAAAAACACAAACAGTCTGCATGGTTATTTTTACATCAGAGTGGGTCGCTGTCAGGGGCTCAAACTCCACTTTACATCATGTATTTTTAATTCTTATAGATACTGTGTGTGTTACCTGATACAGCTGCTGTTATTTCTGTGGTCCAGACATCCAAACGCAACACACATCAGTGAAGAATAGAGCAGGGTGAGCTCTGAACTGGAAAAAACTGGGTCAAAGTAGGGTTTCTGGGACAAGAACCAACGACCGGTGCATGGAGGGCGAGAGGCTTGAAGAGGTCAAAAAGCTCCAGTAACACTTTTCAAACAAAAATCAACCTTATCAGACTGAAGAGTTTCAGCTTGTGCCCTTCATCAGTGGCACGCTTTGACTGCAGGACTTTGCAGAAGTGAAAAAACCCTGCAGTTCCTCGAGTGTCCACTAGAGGCTGGCTGCAGAAGCACAGGAAGTCACATACACACCCATTCTAAAAAGCCTGTTTTTACAGCAGAGATGAACATGTTTACAGCCTGGTTCAAAAAACCAAATAGGTCTGATTAGTTATTGTACGATGGAACTCCAGCGCCCCCTGCAGGAAGAGATGGGTGACGTCACTCAGGCTTCAAACATTAATATTTACAGTCTATGTTCAAAACTAGAGAAACGTTTAAGCTCAATATATCAAATGCATCTTATTTGAAATGTAAATGTTTTTCTCTTTGTCCACAGAGCCCTGGTGATCACAGAATCCAAGAAAAGATGCAGGTAAGACAAACATGAATGAAATATGAAATATGTTTACACCTGAAATAAACACCCAGCTCTTTACACTCATAACAACACACACACACACTGACTGATTTAGGGTGTTCTCTTGGGAGTGAATTGCACCACATGAAGACAAGTTCTCACCAAAAGCAAATAGAGAGGCAGCGCCCCCTGGTGGATCTTCATCAGCACTGCATGCAAGAGACTCAGACAGGACATGAAAACTCGTTAAAATTAACAGAAGTGTTCTAACCTCTCTCCATTTTTCAAAAGCATCTCCAATATTGATCCTAGTTTGAGCACGTTTCTGCTCGTGGAGCTTATTAGAAACATGCATTAGAAACATGCAACACCTGTTGACCTGATAACTGCTCTCATATCTGACAAACTGAGTGGCGTCCAAAACGGCTCATCATGCCTCCTCACTGATGCACATCTCTCCGTCTGCTGGATGTTTAAACACAGAGATTTAATTCACAAAGCGGCTGCACGGAGAGAATCTGAAACATTTGGGAGAAGACTTGTCTTCATTGTGCGTCCGTGTTAATCCTCCGCTGTCACACTTTTGGTTTTTCTGCCACTCTGAGAAAAGTAAACAGAGTGAGAGGTCTGTCAGCAGTGTTTGGCACATATCTCTGATTAGGATTAATTGATATTTGATTGCCTGGCTCATTCCAGCAGATCAGTGTTTTGGTGTTGTGTCTCCAGAGGGCTCTTAGGCTGACGGATGTGAACACAGTCAGAGTCAGAGGAGGTCGACACACACACACACACACACACACACACACACACACACACACACACACACACACACACACACAAATCAGATGTGAGAACAGCTTTGTCAACAACTCATCCATCCTGCAGCGAAGATTAAAGACAGATGAGGAACTCGTCTGTGGGAAAACGATCCTGAAAGTGTCAGTTTAAAAAAAATGACATCAGCTTTTAATGAGCGCAGAGTACAGGTTCATGTGATTCACCGACACCCCTCCCCCTCCTCTTGTAACTGTGTGACATTCTCGTGTGGGCCGGTCCAGGACTCGGCGCCCCTGGGAAACACATGAACTCATTCCACGCTGATGATTCAGAGAATTTAATGAAGCTGATGGAAAACAGTCCAGCCTTGTTTCTGCAGGTCACTCCCTGCACGCAGACTTAGACTTCATAGAGACTGAAAATGTTGCTGCACGATGTTGAGTTATTAACGATCTGCAGAGAGAGAGAGAACGTAAATATTTAATCCCACTGAAGTTTGTGCAGAAAGCCCTTTTTGTTCCAGATGTTGGAGGTTGAACGCAGCAGATTGCACACACTCTCTGACATGTTGGTGCAAAACAACAAGCACAAAATACACTCGTGAAATAAGTAACTTGAGGCTTTAAAGCTCTGAAGTGAAACAAACCGAGGCACTAATGTGTATGCATGAGGAAAACAACAAAGATGTCCTCCTATCTGTATGAAAAACTCAAAATAGAAAATCTTTATCTCGGATCTAGGATGGTAAATCCAGTCGTAAATATCTATCTTTAAGGGACTACGGTGGCCATAAGAGATCATGCATCCTAACATTTTATCATACTCCTTTTTTTCTGTGATAACAAACAACAGCGTTTACCGTTTTCTAGAAATCTGGAGGAGTTAGCTTAGCGTTGATGTCTCAATATAACGAGATAAACGAGTAGAGAGCTCAAGAAAACAGCTGAAATTTACTTCTTAGCAAACAGATTTTTTTACTGTATGGATGTTTGTCCTTTAGGGCTTCCATAGATTACAAGTACTTTTTGGATGTTTTTTCTTCTTGAATTTACAAACTGTGATCCAAATGTTGACTGAGCTCTAATATGAAACTGGACAGAGACTAAAATAACACAAGAAACAGGCTTTGAGAATCACTCAAAATGATGTAACAAATATTTTTAACTCAGGCTCTTCTAAAGGAAAGGGTTTTGATTCATTACAGACAAGAGAGGGGGATTCATTTGTTGTGTAAGATGAATTCCAAGTGCTCATTAAAGGCAGACAGTTGGTGCATCAGAGGGCGGGGCTCAGAGACCCTCCCGTTCCCTGTAGAATGGTTCAGTCCAGACAGATGCAAGAGGTCTCACTCTGACACAAATTTAGAAGACCGGAAATAAATTACTCATCAACTGTTTGTCCGTGTTTGAAGCTTTAATTTGTAAGATGTAAGAACACAAAATCAATGAGCGATAGAAATGAGAAGTGGACTCATGTAAACTGTTTGATCTTTTTATTGAAGGATTACTCAAAGGGTTAATTAAGAGACTTTAAAAATTGTACACATTGGGATCATTATTGTTTCCTTTTTATCTTCTAGTATCTCTTTTAAAATACTTTAACTGTTGAATGTCTGCTCGTCGCCAACTGGTTATTAGGTTACACAAACACAATAAATAGGCAGAACAGATGAAAGAAAAGATAAAATACAACTAAATAAATCAATAATATAAACTGTAACCCAGATAGAAATAGTACATTTTGTAAAAAGTTGTGGAAAAGCAGAATAGCCGAGCTTAAAAAAAAGTGAATATCGTACTCGAATGTATTAAAATTGAACCTGGATGTTACTGTTTTTGTTGAGCGATAGGACAGTGAATAGATTCAGAGATCAGGGAGAGAGAGAGAGAGAGAGAGAGAGAGAGAGAGAGAGAGAGAGAGAGAGAGAGAGAGAGAGAGAGAGAGGAGCCACAAGTTGGGTTTAAACCTGGGCGTACCACTTGGAGAACTACAGAAGTGGGGCACACACACTCCCCGTGGTAATGAATTGACATCGACGTCACCTCTTCCTCCTTGCCCCCTCTGCCTCCTTACCTGCATCCCCCTCTGCCTCCTTACCTGCATCCCCCTCTGCCTCCCTACCTGCATCCCCCTGCCTCATCGCCCAGCCACTGTCTCAGTTCTCCCCTGTGTCCCCTAATGAACTGTCAATCATCACTGCAGGTATGAAAAGCTCAACCAGTGTTCTCGACCCCATCCCGTCCAATCTGGTCAAACACTGGTCTCCCCGCCTCCCAAATGCACAACATAACAGGCAAAGCAGTCATAGCTGGCAATGACATTGTTGTGTTCCAAGCTCTCCTTAACAAAGCAAAAATAAAAACCATAGTGTAAGATAAGAGTAAAAAGAGTCACAACATACAGTACAATTAAGAACCAAAAGTTTAAATAAAACTAGAATATATGTACAGTGTATATATACTGTACACTGGAAATGGAAATGAAGACAAAGCTGCAGCCAGCGCCCAGGACTAGTTTCAGCTGCGGAGTGAGACGTTCTCTTACGTAGAGACGATCTTTGGTTTCTGTCATCGTTCTCTCTCGGTGTGAAAGCGGCTCGAGCTCTGACAGCCTCTCCCTCCATCCACAGCTGATGAGGCCGCTGAGGGTGTGGAGGACACCGGGCAGGGACACCGACCGTCTCCGGTCAATTCACCGAACACTGAAACCGGTCGACGAGAAACAAAGATCGCTTCTGATTTCTCGTGTTCCGTGTCGGATTCCACCGGGTGCAGCTGCTGCAGCGGGGGAGATGCTGCAGCCTGCAGGGAGGCGTCATTGATTTGAAGGCGTTAAAACACAAACAGGACTTTCACGGAGAACCGGGAGGATTCTAAAAACCGGATCGATGTGTCATCACATGTCCGAGAGGAAGTGAAAATGTGACCCTCAGCAACATCCGCCTCTCCGCCTGGAAATCATCTCTGAATTAAAGCTTCAGATCACGTTTTCCAGTCAGCGTGACACCACGAGATTTGGATTTTTCTTCTCGCTGCAGCTTCCTCGTTTTATCTCCATCATGAAGTTCTCCGGATTTATTTGTGTTGAAAACATGAAACTAAGAATCTGAGCACTTGTGACTTTGATACAAGGACTGATATTAATGTTAAAAATCTAATTTTAAACTTCAGATTTGAGATTTAAACTTTTTTGTTGACAAAAAAAATCCCCCCAGGTCTTTAGAGTTGCTGAGCTGGAGTTTTTGGCCAGATCACATATTCTCTTCCTTTACATTTTCAGTCTAAAAAATGTAAACAAATATATTTTTAAATGAGAGCAGATGGTGATCTGACACAGGAAAACTAAGGACGGTGGCTTTGGAGGGACAAAAACACATTAAAGCATCTCTGAACAAGAAAAGGAACTCTTGAACGAGATTTTGACGTTTCAGAAATTTAGTAAATTTAAAAAAAAAAAAATCTTAGGAGGAAGACGCACCTGAAAAACGTTTGAACCGCCATCCAAAGAAACTGTCGCACCTTTATAGACAACTCAACATTTAAAAGGTGACGTCACTTTGTGCGATGTTGGACCCGGTGAAGATGAAGGAGTCGTGCAGGATCTGCGCCCGCGAGCTCTGCGGCAACCAGCGCCGATGGATTTTCCACCCGGCGGCCAAGGTGAACCTCCAGGTGCTGCTCTCCCACGCTCTGGGCCGCGAGCTGAGCCGGGACGGGCGCGGCGAGTTCGCCTGCTCCAAGTGCACCTTCATGCTGGACCGGATGTACCGCTTCGACACGGTCATCGCCCGCGTGGAGGCGCTGTCCCTGGAGCGCCTCCACAAGCTGCTGCTGGAGAAAGACCGGCTCAGGCAGTGCATCGGGGGACTGTTCCGCAAGAACAACGCCGAGGAGGACGGGAATAACGCGGGACAAACCGGCGCCGTCATGGAGGTCATAGTGACGGAGGCGGGGTCTGAGGACTCTCCTGTGGTGGATCTGTCCGCCCTGCAGGATGTGAGGTACTCCGACATGATCCAGGACGACCTCACCTACTCTGTGTATGAATCCTGGGCCGATAAGGAGGACGCCACCCCGGAGCAAAACACCCACCAGCACCACCTCCTCCACTGCCCCGCCGGAGACGCTCTCCCGGGGCAGAAGCCGCGGCGCTGTAAGGGGTGCGCGGCGCTGCGGGTCGCTGATTCCGACTATGAGGCGGTGTGTAAGGTGCCGCGGAAGATCGGGCGCAGGAGCACATCCTGTGGCCCGTCTACACGCTACTCGCCGTCCAATCAGGGAGCGGAGGATGCTGCTCGATCCTCTGAGGCGTCTGACACCACCACGGTCGCCTTCGAGTCCTCTTTAGCGGACACCGATAAGACCCTGTGTGACAGGACGACCCCCAGCATGGCGTCCTCCGTAGAATCTCTGGAAACCGCCGTGGACGCGGGCCGCACTCCGGTGAACCCCAAAGAGAGAGAAGAAGACGCAGAGCCAGAGAAAGATCCAGAGGAGGCTCCAGTGAGGAGGGAGCCTCTGTGGGACCGTCCCCCCAGTGAGAGCTCCCTCTCTGGGCTGGAGGGGACGCTGACCCTCCTGAGGAGTCTGGAGTACCGGCCGGTGAAGACTCGGAGGGGCAGCCGGCTCCCCGTCCTGATCAAAGCCAAAGTGGAGCAGAGTGTGTCGCTGCACCTTCCCCTTCAGCCGAGGTCGCCCTACGGAGGGGCGGCGGACTGTTACCTGTACCCTCAGCAGCAGGTGACCCCAGAGGTCGTGACCCCGTGCGCCCAGCATGAGCTGCAGGCGGAGCTGGCAGAGATGGAGGAGCAGTGGATGGATGATTATATTCAGTGTGGGCCGTTTCGCTTCCAGCAGGTAGCTACGACGACGACTCCTGACCGGATAGCCTCCACCTCAGTGTAGATTTAGATGCATCATGGTAAATTTTAGATTTACCAAAGACAGGAAGAACATGTCAGGGTTCCTCGGCCTCTGCTGCTTTAAATACTTTTTTCCTCATCGTTCTTCTTGTCCCTGAAGGTTATTTAGGATTTCTAAACTTTGGCCCATTTTCTTTGTTTTTCAAAACAGGGACCTAAATCATTAATAGGTGCAAAAATATTGGAATCGTGTGTGTGCGTCAGAGCCTGGAGATTACGTCCGTCTCTGAATGTCTGAGAGCGAATAAGACCTGAGTCATAACAACAACATGAACCTTTTAAAATACCAAAGTTGTCTTCACAGACTTGGAAAGTGTAGAAATGGTGGTAAGAAGGTTGAGCCGCTTATTCTGCAGTCCGGCCTGAACGAGGTCAAACCTCTCAGGATTTTCTTTTTCTTGCTCATCTCCTTCTCCGCTGATGAAGCTCTCAACACGCTCGCTGCCTTGATCGCCCTCTCGGGGCACTTGAGTACAAATACTCTAACCCCCCTCGTCTGTATCCTAGCAACACTTCCGTTGCCGTGGAAACAGTCTCCAAACCCCCACAGCCAGCCAGCCAGCGAGTGAGTGAGTCTGCTTCGGCTTCACGAGCTTCATAACTCTCTTTTGTTATGTTAACGATGAGAGAGAGAGAGAGAGAGAGAGAGAGAGAGAGAATGTTCTTGTGTTCGTCTCTAATACAGACATAAAGCAGCAGGCTGTATAACGGAGCTGTCAGCGCTCTGAATCAGGACACGTACACACAGTTTATGAGTCATATAGAAGAAGTTCCCACTTTCTGTAAAGAAAAATGCAGATAATGATGTCTTAGTTTTGCAGCCCTGCAGGTCAGCCAATCAGGGGAGATCTGTCCACATACAGGAATCATTTTAACCAATGAAGTGCAAAAATCCTGCAGTTCTTCAAGTGTCCACTAGAGGCTGGCTGCAGAAGCACAGGAAGTCACATACACACCCATTCAAAAAAGCAGAAATTACTTTAGCGCCCCCTGCAGGAACAGACGGGTGACGTCACTCAGGCTTCAGCCGTTAATGTTTACGCTTTATGATTTTAACATAACTATGATAATAAAAACATTTTCATACAGCAGCATGTCTAAAAACAAGAGTTAACAAGAAGGTGTGCTGATGAGAAAGCAGCAGAAGAAACTCTGAACGGCCAGCAGATTCCAGCAAGACGAAACAGTCCAGACAATAATGAGTTCAACCAAGAGGACGAGAACGATGTAGAAACATGAAAACAGAGCGAAAAGGTTCAAAACAATGACGGTAATTAAAGTAAATACTTCAAGAGGAAAGAACTTTGTGAAAAAGGAAGAGATTCAAATCAGATTGAATAAATAGGAAGAGAACTAATCAATAATGTTCCCACTTTTTATACCCACAAGAGAAGGAAGTTGATAGTTTTTCAGTTTTATGAAGAAACTTTTAGGACAAACTGAAGTGTCACCTGATTGTTTTATATTTCACTGATCTGACACGTTTTTGAAACTGCTCTAAAGAAAAAGGAAAAAGCTTCACATGTCGTTTATAGAGTCGGTTGGCATCATATCATAAAACACCAAAACAGGAAGTCAAGAACATGCTGCCGTAGCAACAGTGGCTTCCCCAGGAAGTCCTCTGACAGTGAGCTGACATCACTTTCCACTTTCTCTCAATCCTTCCCGGCTGCAGAGACGGGCGGCACCGATGTAACTGTGTCAGTCAGCGACCAATCATAATCATCCCCCTGTTTGTTTTCTCTTGTTGTAACGTGCGTTGACGATGAGTTTGATTCCTGTGTCCTCCAGAGGCTGATTGATGAGCAGCAGGGTCAGCTCGGTCAGTACGAGAGCGCTGCGGGTCAGTGTGTGGGCGAGCTGCAGAAAGCCCAGGAGCAGGTCCGCTCGCTTCAGGCCAAGATCAGAGAGAGCGAGACCAGGAACCAGGTACCAAAGCACTCGCCCCCCCCCCCCCGCTTCATCAGTCTGAATCTGCTTTAACATGAGTCTGCAGGGAAGCTCTGACTGATCTTTGTGTGTGTGTGTGTTTAGAAGCTGCAGAAGCATCTGGGCGACATGGAGCTGGAGCTTCGTTCAGCTCAGGAGGAAGCGCAGAGACAGGAGAGAAACATCCAGAACATCAGTGACACAGCTAACTCCAAAGACGCACAGGTGAGAGACACACAGCAAGGAGGACAAAAAGGATCCCAGATGATTGTCGAAAGGACTGCCAAGTTACATCTCTGTGTGTGTGTGTGTCTGTGTGTGTGTGTATGTGTGTAGGCTGCAGAGCTGTGTCGCGTCATCGAGGAGCAGAATAAGATGCTGTGTTCCCTCAAAGAGTTCGCCAGCCGCAGCCAGCTGCAGCAGCTGCAGGTTTGTCCTCCGCCCTGACACTGAGTGATACCAAAGTCTCTTCACATCACTGAGCAGCTGCTCACACACACACACACACACACACACACACACACACACACACACACACACACACACACACACACACACACACACACACACACACACACACACACACAGTTTACAAATATACAAACTAGATCCATTTACTTATTTCACTTTAACTACGATTTAAGATCAGAGTTCTAATTTCCTTACTTAGTATCTTTGTCTTGTTTTGTGCATTTGTCCCCTTAATGTCCCTCTGTGTTTATCCGTCCCTGACCGACCCCCTGCTGTGTGCTTCCTGCAGGTTTCGGGCACAGAGAGTATCCGGGGTCATGGCGAGGTGCTGGCCCTGCAGGCGTCCCTCTTCCAGGCTCAGCTGGAGCTGCAGGCCGGCCAGCGCGGGCAGAGACAGGCAGCCAGGACGCAGGACGACCTGAATCGTGCCCTGCAGAGGCTGGAGAAGGACCTGCAGGGGGCGCTGCAGCACAGGAGGGAGACGGAGAGACACAGCCAGGTGAGGAGGAGGAAGAGATATCATCGAAATGTCCCACTCGTAATAACGACGTGAGCTCGTGACTCGTAAATACAGTTTTCCTGAGGAGCATTTGAAGGCAGCAGTGGATTTATTTCTTGGACAACTAGCTTGCATTTTTGTTTTCCATGAAGGGAGGATGTGTTTGTTTGCATCAGATCACCACGCGTCTTGGCATTTCTGTTTTTTTGTACATCTGTGTTTGTTTTTGTTATGTTCAGGACCTGCAGCTGGCTCTGGAGACGGCTCGATCGGCCCTGCAGGAGAGAGAGGAGCAGCTGAGAGAGCGAGAGCAGGAGAGACAGAGCGAGGACGAGGAGAGAGAGAGGACCATCCGAGAGCTGAAGACGTCTCTGCTCAGCAAAGAGCAGCTGATTGAGGTCTGAAACTAAAACGCTCAAACTTACAAACTGTTCACTGTAAAAAATCAAATAAAACCTCCTTTCATCCTTTAATGAGGCTTTATCAGCACTCACACACACTCACAGGGTTCATACAAAGGTCACATCACAAGGAGGTACTCTGTAAATACTCTGAATGCCACACATATCAAACAGAAACCTGCACAGCTTAACAAGCTGCAGTTCCTCTGACGACCACTAGAGGCTTCAATACTGAAACTCATTTTTAGAGGACTTTTTTGGGAGGACGGTTTCACTTCCTCTCTGACAAAGTGAACTCACTGCCAGGTCATTTCATTACCTCACATTATGATTCATTACCTGTTTTGTTAGATATTATGTCACCTTGATACGACACACACACACACACACACACACACACACACACACACACACACACACACACACACACACCGGTGCTTGCTGACTTGTTTGTCCTCGTCTCAGGACTGTGAGCTGTTGGAGGATCCGAAGGAGAAGAGAGACTCTCTGCTTCAGAAACTCCGTCAGCGAATCAAAGAGAGGGACCGAGCTCTGGAGGTAAATAACACACATTAACAACATATTATTAATGTATTGAGCCGATGAATTCAGTCGCACAAAGACTCACATTCAGACCGAAGGATGTCATTTTTTATGACCTTCTAAGCAGTTTGATTAGCGGCACATCAAACCAAAACTGATTTTTGTTTTTGTCCAATCGGCAGCGAGCCGTGGACGAGAAGTTCCGCTGCATGGAGGAGAAAGAGGAGGAGCTTCGTCGTCTGCAGCTGCTGCTCAGAGAGAAGGAGAGAGACCTGGAGAGGCAGCGCTGCGTGCTCACCAACAACGAGGAGACCATCACTGTAAGAACACACACACACACACACACACACACACACACATCTCACACTTGTTCTGTTGCTCACTCCTACACTTGCTCACTGTGTGTGTGTGTGTGTGTGTGTGTGTGTGTGTGTGTGTGTGTGTGTGTGTGTGTGTGTGTGTGTGTGTGTGTGTGTGTGTGTGTGTGTGTGTGTGTGTGTGTGTGTGTGTGTGTGTGTGTGTGTGTGTGTGTGTGTGTGTCAGAGCCTGGAGGTGCTGCTGCGAGGTAAAGCTCTGGAGCTGGAGCAGGTGTGCGACGCCTGGAGGAGCGTGCAGCGTCAGCAGCAGGAGAGCGGAGAGAGACAGAGCCGCGCCCTGAGAGAGAGAGACGGCATCATCAGCCAGCTGCAGGGGGCGCTGCACGCCCGCACGCAGGAGGCTCAGGTACACACAGGAAGTGAACGACACTCTAAAAAGAGATGAACATTTAGTTTCGGCTGATTTACGTTTGGTTCTTTTTTCTCTTCTCTTCAGGACCTTCGCTGCTCCCTGCTCGCTCAGATCCAATCAGCTCCCAGCGACGTCCTGGAGGAGCTGAAGGCCCGCCTCCAGCTCAAGGACCGCCTCTTCCAGGAAGTGCTGGCCGACCGGACCCGGCAGGCCCAAGACCACCAGGAGCATGTCCAGGATCTGCTCCAAACCATCAGCTCCAGGGACCAGTACATCCAGGTAGAGACGAGGAGCGCAGTAAAAAAAAAAAAATCATGAGGCTGAGTTTAAAAGTGTGAAAAAACTGACCCCACAGTCTCCCCTGCAGGACTCTGCGAGCCGGCTCGACGAGGTGATGACGGAGCAGACGGCGAGGCTCCAGGAGCTCCGCAGACAGCTGAGCTCAGGCGTGGGGTCGAGGCGTGACTCAGGGGCGGACTCGGCGGTGGAGATCCAGGCGCTGCAGGAGGAGCTGCGTCTGTCTCTGAGGAGGGAGAGGGAGAGCCACGAGCTGAGCCGGAGTCAGACTCACAGCCTGGAGTCACTCAGCCGGACGCTGCACGGGAAGGAGGAGCTGATCAAGGTCAGTCACAGGGAGACTCTCAAAATCCTGAAATCCATTGTAGCTGTCAGCCACCTCCAAAATACATGAGCCAACTTATTCAGGACAATGTGAGCAACTCTGAGAATTGCTCTTTTTTAAAATGTCTCCAAGGAATCAACTCGTGTTCATGTCCTGGTCTTCTGTGTGTGTGTGTGTGTGTGTGTGTGTGTGTGTGTGTGTGTGTGTGTGTGTGTGTGTGTGTGTGTGTGTGTGTGTGTGTGTGTGTGTGTGTGTGTGTGTGTGTGTGTGTGTGTGTGTGTGTGTGTGTGTGTGTGTGTGTGTGTGTGTGTGTGTGTGTGTGTGTGTGTGTGTGTGTGTACAGGACCTCCAGAGGCAGATGGTGGACCCCTCGGCCCTCCCTCTAGTGGAGCGGTTGACTCAGGAGGTTCAGGAGCTGAGGGACAGCCTGTTCCAGCAGGAGGCGCCCCCGGCCAGGGGCCCCGTTCTGGGCCGCGACCGAGCCGGCAGCAGGCAGCCTGAGTTTGGAGGTGGGCATCAGAGGAGCATGGGACAGTATCTGTAAACTCCTGCAGGAGGCAGGGGGGGAGGCACGCTGTGTGGTGTGTGGTGGCCGGGTATCAAAAACTAACTCTGAACTCTGTTAAACCAACTGACGGTGACATGACGGGGAGTGTTTATCAGCTGTTCTTGTTCTGTTTCATTAACGAGTCGGGGAACTGCAGGTGTTTAAAACCCTTCAAAAAAACTGCATGAAGTTTCACATGTTTGATTTCAAGGAGCCTCCTCGGTTTTATGTGTGTTAACCATTTTGGCATTGATTTGCACTCCAAAGTCGAGGACAGATATCTATCTTTAGCCTGCAAAAAGTAGACAAATGATTTATTTATTTCATTTCCTCCTTCTGTTTCTAATCCCTGCAACAACAGTTAGTCATGTTGTAACATCAGAGCCTTTAAAAACGACAGACGCTCTTTTCCCGTTTATTTGTCAGAAGTTGACAAAAAGCTCCTTTTACAAGAAAACTCACCACGACTTTACAAAATCTCTAAACTATATGTCTGTGTGTTTTTCATTTTGTATACTATAACATGCTGTTATGATGTCATGAATGCTCCACGTGCACATCTACCACTCTGGTTCTGCTCCTGATTAAAGGAAGAATGTGCGACTTTTTGATCCAGTAGATGTCGCCCTTGAGCTCCAGCATGAAACCAAAACAAACTGCTGTTAGGCCACGCCTCCTCCATACTGAAGCCTCCACTCAAGTTCACATGAAGGAGTTATGAATTAGAACGCACTACAATTAATCACCATTAAGTGAAGGCGGTGAACTAAATTGTCCTCGGCTCGAGCTGCGATCACCTGTGTCCTGCATTGTTGTGTTAGCATGCTAATGTTAGCGCTCTTTAGTTAGCTCGTAGCTTCACATTGTTGTGTTAGCATGCTAATGTTAGCGCTCTTTAGTTAGCTCGTAGCTTCACATTTCATGTAAACTGACACAGAATGAGCGTGATCTAAAAACTCTTACTAACATCCAAATAATCAGTGAGTATGTTCTTCTTCTTCTCTCTAGTTCTTGACTAAAACAGCTTTTATACACAAGGGGAGGAGCCGCCCGTCCCGTCCATGTAAACACGGCTCTGACAACAACACAGCCAGCGGGACTCGAGCTTCTCCCTCATTGTAGACAGTCATGACTCAGAGAGACATTTACACAGGACAGACTGGATTTATGATATATTTATGTGGAACATCTCACACATTCTTCCTTTAACGTCTCGTGCAGAAAAGACAGAAACAACATGCGTGTGATTGTTTTGTAAATATTTCAGTGGGATTAATTAATTCAGCACTTTTTCTAACTTGAAGGAAAACAAGCATCATTCAATCTGTTTAATGTTTGTGCAAATGTTTTGTATTTGGTTCTAATATGTGGATGAGTGTGTGCCTTTTGCATGAGCAGCAGCCTGAATCAGACCGTCTCTGAATGCTTTTCTTTGTTTTGAAAAGATGAAAATGACTCCACGGTCTGCATTTGTGATATTTCAAGCGTGAGTTTGCTTCTGTGATTTTTAACGAGACTGTGTGCAATTCAACAACTGTTAGAAGTCTGTGGTTCGATATGAATGAGTACGATCACAACCTGCTGCACAGTAAGTACAGTATGAACGTTCAGACTGGAGGATGAGAAACGTGTGTGTGCGTGTGTGTGCTCATCGTTAAGAGGACTTTTTAAACCGTTTTGACCCCTGCCATGTCATCAATAAACCTTTCCATCATGCCTTCATGATTTCAGGAGGATTTCATGGTTTGAACAGTTGAAATACATTTTGTCTTTGTAAGTTAACACACCAGCTCAACACCTTCCCGCCCTGTTTCAGTACGTTTCCCCTCTACACACATGAAGACCCGAAAAAACAAACACAGTAACGTAAGCACTGAGTCCAGCTCCACACGTTCCCTCCTTAACGTACCCCAAAACTACATGACAGTAATATGAACGGGGGGCTTTCTCTCTCCATGTCCTATTGTTTACGGTGAGAAGGCAGACTCAGAGGGCAGAACAAACACCTAGCTGTGGAAGTGTCACCCACCTGGGGGAGGGGCTACTGCCCTTTGTGATGTCATGAAGGGAAAATCTCCAAACGACCTGTTTGAGCACACATCTGAAAAGTGGAGCAGGTTAAAGACGGAGAGGATGGACTTTTCTCATCATTGGGGGATTTGTAGACAGACTAGAGACACATGTTAGAGTTAGAGAAACATGGTGAAGTGTGTTTTGTATAATATGTGACCTTTAAGTGGAGTTACACGTTACTAAAAGACTCTTGGTGTCACTCAGGGCTCCATCTCGGGTCTCTATACTGTTTGTTTGTCCCATCCATCTCCTCCTGCTAACACCTCACTTTTAGAAACACATATTAGTGATTAGAGAAACATGAGGAAGAGGATTTAGCATCATATTTGACCTTTAAAAACACAAAGATCAGACTTTAAGATCAATATGAGACCAGAACTTCTTTAACTTCTCTGATGTCACAGCTGACATTAGCATTGTCATGACAACAGAACTACAAACTTTGACTCTATACGAGTAAAAAAATCACACAATATCAAAACCTGTTTCAGTATCACGGCAACAAAAACAGGAATTCCAGGAAATCTATGATGTTGACAACCTACCCTGCTGCGTTTAATCCCACCTTCAGAGAAATTCAAATCCAGGATTTACCTTCCAACTTTGTCTAGATTACCCATAATCCACGGGCCCTTTTCAGTGTCTTCAACATTTGAATTTAATGAAGACCCAAAATGTGACTCAAGCATCCCAGACTCTGCACAGATCCCCGATTCTTCTTCAGATCTGCTGAAGTGTTAATCAGGAAAAACCTTTTTAAGAGTGTCCTGGATGAAACAGAGAGCAGAACATTAATAAAACTTCTGACCAACAGCCTCACATACAAACATCGTATAAGAAACATCATTATTATACATTAAGATGAATAACAATTACAAACAGCAAATATTTGTCAAATTCTGAAACGTATCTGTCAGATCGTCAGATGTGTCCAGGGGCGAGTCCAGAGGGGTGGCATGAGGCATGAACCCCCCCTAGAAAATCTGATTGGCCTACCCAGGTGCCACCCAAAAAATCCTGAACTGTTATTGGCTACTTGCCCTGTCAACGTGTCGGGACTTAAGCTAAAACCAACTATGAGGGGTTTTTTTGCAGAAGGCTGCTAGTAATTTTCAAATCAATGAAGCACTTTTTTTTGCACTTTGAATTGTAAACAAAAACTTTGCACATCTATTCAATGGGACAGGTGCAGAGGAAAGTAATGCACTCTGTCTTACTTATAATGCACTAACTGGAAATGTGTCAAGACCAGAACATGCAAGTTAGACTGTGCAGGAGTTTGAATTTTTAGGTACTTTAAATTGTGACTTTAAACATTCATCTTCTTAATGTGTCATTAATGAATCAAGCTAATGTTGCTGTTATCTTGTGTTATAGAGTAGATATGATTGATGAGGCTAGAACATCCTCTTAAAATCAGCCAATGAGAGTGACCGTTGTGTTGAAGCAGATTTAAAGGCAGTTAAAAAGACATATGTAGTGAAATAAGTCAATCACAAGCTGTTTAAGGTAATATATTCTGTGAAACACAATTCACCATGTTCCTCTAACTCTAACATGTGTCTCTAGTCCGTCTACAAACCCCCTAATGATGAGAAAACTTCATCCTCTCCATCTTCTGCCTGCTCCACTTTTCAGAAAATGTGTGCTCAAACAGGCCTTTTGGAGATTTTCCCTTCATGACATCACAAAGGGCAGTAGCCCCTCCCCCAGGTGGGTGACACTCCCACAGCTAGGTGTTTGTTCTGCCCTCTGAGTCTGCCTTCTCACTGTAAACAATAGGACATGGAGCGAGAAAGCACCGAGTACACCCAAGCCCTTCCAGAGAGGGGGCGTGGTCAGACACAGCTCATTTACATATTTAAAGGTACAGACACAGAAACAGCTTGTTCTGAGCAGGGCTGAAATAGAGGGGTTTATAGACATGATCAAATACAGGATCAGAGTGGATTTAGAACAAGAAACTTCACACACATGTTTTGAGGAGCTCTGAGACTTATTTACACTGAAGAAGAGGAGGATATGTCACCTTTAAAATACCTGTTGTATTTAAAGTCGAGGACCACAGCAGATGTTAAAAATGACAAAACAAATCAGCAGCAATGACAACAAAAATATGAAGAAATCACTCTTCTCTCTTTGTGTGTGTGTGTGTGTGTGTGTGTGTGTGTGTGTGTGTGTGTGTGTGTGTGTGTGTGTGTGTGTGTGTGTGTGTTGACTCCCAGAGGAACAGTTGCTGAATTGCATGCACACAAAAAACATGAAAGTGAAGCTGTAAGGTAAATGTCAAAGAAGTTTTTGTGACGCTGATGAATCAAACTCTTCTCTCCTCCTTCCTGCAGAGCTGAGCTCAGAGGATGAAGACGAGGCTGACGAGGATTTGAACAGCGAGTACACGGAGAGCGTCGATGAAGACGAGTCCAAACCGAGGCTCCAGACCAAGGTTTGTGACGCAATACTGGTAAAAGCCTAACAATATCAATACCTGTTTGATACCTGTTGATCTAGAGAGGAGGAGACAACGTCAGGAAGTGCAAACAAACAGCTTTAAGTCTGATCTGACCACATCACAAAGTTTGTTTTCTCGTGTAATGAGATCTTTTAAAAAAACAAAAGGCTGCTCATGGTGACATGTTGTCGTCCACAGAGCGACTGTGCGTCTCATCACTCTGACTGTGTGTCCAAACAGGCTTCTGGAAAGTCCCCGTCCTCTGATCTGCTGTTTGAGGGTCAGGGGCTGGTGGAGGTCAAACAGCTGGTGGAGCAGAAGCGGGTGGTGGAGAGAGAGCTGGGGGAGCTGAAGGCTCAGCTGGAGAAGGCCGGCTTCTCCTCCCTCTCACAGATGAGGTAAGATGATTACACATAGAGGATTACACCGAGGGAATTTCTTATTGCAAACAAATCCAACCAAGACTGATAATCAAACTGTGACTGTCTGCTACGACTGCAGCTCACAGGTTTTCTTTCTGTGTTTTTTTTTTCTGAAACTGTTCAGTGTTCCGCCCCATTTCCATGAACACACACACAAGACTTATTTTTGTAAGTTTAGTAATCTCATAAATATCAAGAAATCCCATATTGTACTTACTTTTCAGTTACTGTGTTACACCAAAAATCAGTTTGTTGCACGTATGAACACACTTAATATTCTGTAAAACATCAAATCCTTTACACCACACATCTTGTAAACACAACATTCACACTGGGCCCCTCCTCCTGGACTCATCACCACCAGAAGCTCACACTCACTGCAGGACTCAGCTTGTATGTTTAATGCTTGTAGCTACACTGCTAGCTACCTACAAATCTACAATTCTACAATTCACTTAGCAGACGCTTTTATCCAAAGCGACGTACATCAGAGAGTAAGAACAACACAAGCAAGGATCTAGAAAAAAGGGAACAATGTCAGTAAGAGCAAACGATCAGCTTTGAGTCTGATTGGACACACAGGTGCTGACAGGAAGTGACCAGAGGCAAAGCACAACATTGAGGGCAGTTCTTGAGAGCTCTAATCAGTATAGAAACCATCTTATAAGTCGTCGTTATCAAACAAAAACCATCGTCATTACCATCATCATCATCAATAATATGGAGACCATCATCATTAAGTTAGTAGGTATTCATGAAAGAGCTGGGTCTTTAGCCCACTGTGGGCCACTCCGTCACTCTGACATTTCTCCATTAGTGCATGTCCATAGGATCCTGTTTGTGTGCATGTGTGTATATACTTCAGCCTATGTGTGTGTTCATGACTACAGAGTGTAAAAACTGAAATTTCCCCTTGCAGGGATCAATAAAAGTAAATCTTAATCTTAATCTTTTTCTTAAAGGTGCAGAGGGACTAGTCTAAATTTTATTCTTACCTGACAATATTACATTTGTTGTAATGGAAACATGTATGGAGGCCTCCAGAAGGGATGACTGAGCAACTTTACTTTTGTAGAAGTCTAAATTTTATTCTTTTAGGGAAAAGGAGTGAATATTTCCAACACGTGTCTCCCTGTTTGTTTTTAAAGGAAAGCTCTGTTCAGCCTGCGAGCAGAGAACGAAGATTTAAAGCATCACCTGCAGCCTGACAGGAAGCAGAGTCATGAACAGAAGGTGTTGGAGGGAGAAGAGGAGGAGGCAGAGGAGGAGGCAGAGGAGGAGCTGGATGTGACCATAGAGGGGGTGGAGGAGGACGAAGAGGAGGAGGAGGAGGAGGAGGAGAGCTCTGGGATCTGGGACGCCTGGGATACCGAGATGTCTCTATCACAGCATGATCAGAGCGCCACCAACAGGCCGGCGTCCCTGCAGCTACTCAACAACTCCTCACAGGTACAGAGGACGGCGGCTCCTCATTCTACAAGGATGTAAAAAAATAAATGAAAGCACTTCATAGTTCATGTGTTTGTTCCAGGACGGTGCAGACAGCGAGCTCTCGGCAGCTCAGTCCTCTGTGAAGTGTGAGAAGACGGTTCGTCTGCAGCAGAAGAGCGAAGAGCTGCGTGAGCGACTGATGGTGTCTGAAGCCACGGTGCAGGCTCAGGCCGAGCAGCTCAAAGACTACAGAGAGCTGCTCAGTGAGTGGATTCATTCATCAGTTATCAATAAGAGTTCTGTAAAAGTCCACAGAAAGAAATCATCCACTGCAAATGCATCATCGTAAAACTGAGTCTTCTTCTTCTTTTTCTGTGTCTCTGCAGCGGAGACAGCGGTGAAGCAGGACAGTAAACAGATCCAGGTGGACCTGCAGGATCTGGGCTACGAGACCTGCGGCCGCAGTGAGAACGAGGCCGAGAGGGAGGACACCAGCAGCCCAGGTACGTCCCACCGTCTAGTGAACACACCTGATCACTCTTTGATGAGACATTTAAAACGTTCATTATCAATTCTTCTCCAGGAAACAGGAACAGAGCTGCTCTGTGGTTGTAGTAGCTTCAAATGAACACTAGAGGGCACCAGAGGGCAGCTCTTACAGTCATCAACATTATTGGAACAGTCTTCATAATATCAAAATATATTTGTTAAACAGTGAGCTCTTTTTGATGCATATTTAACATTTTGAACATTATTCTACGGAAGCCCTAAGGAGACAAACATCCAAATAATTGATTTCACTCTGTGTCCCTGCGTTAACGAGTTACTTTCTTGACTTGTCACTATCGCAAAAAACACTGGCTCTCCCATGATAGCGAGTGACTTTTTTCAGATCTAAAAAAATTGACTGAAATGAACTGATTATGACAGGATCACGTGTCCTGTGGTGATTCAGGAAAACATGGCAGCTTTTGACTGAGACTGAAGTCTGTTTCTATTGTTCCCCGTCAGAGTTTGACGACCTGGAGATGTGTACGTCTCTTGACTGCGGCTCTCAGTGGTGGCCGGTGACGAGCAGCAGCAGCAGCTCCACCTTCCCTAAAACCGCCACCCAGAGCTCCGGATTGGTGGAGGACACGTCGTCGCTGCAGCGCCTGGTGGAGGACCTCCGCTCCCAGCTGTCCCGCTCTCAGGCGGTGATCCGCGGGCTGCAGAGCCGCCTCCGCTCCCTCTCCACCTCCAGCGACTGTGGACCCTCCACTCCGAGGAAAGTCAACTGGTCCTTCCAGCCGTCGTCCTCTCAGAGCGGGGCGGAGGAGGACGAGGGCTGGCAGTCGTCTGACGGAGGTCCTCTGGCTTCTCCGCGTCACCCCCGCCCTGACAGAGGCCTGCAGGAGCTGGTGTCCCGAGTGGACGCTCTGGAGGATCAGCTGAGGAAAGAAGGCAAGAAGTCGGTCGGCACCGATGCAAAATCTGCAACCTGGCCCGGGTGAGAGACCACAGAGCAAAAGATCTTTCCTTTGATTTCTTTTGGAAAGTAAATAACACCCTTCAGTCTGTACAGTGATCCGTTAATCAGGGCAGGCATCAATCATCCCGTCAGCCTCCATCAGTATCACTTCATGTTAATCAAACTGAACCACAGATGTTTGTTTTCCCTGCAAACTGCCTGAAAGTCAGACGGATTATCCGACACAAGGCAGAGAACAAACTGTCCCAATTGTCATGTGAGATCAAAGCGTGTCTACAGTCGAGGTTTAGAGCTTTCATTTACAGGCTGATTGAGGCTCTGGATGTCAGGACACAGATGTTTCCTCTTTACAACAAGTCAAGTCTGCATCCAAGCCAAGTTTGATGAAATGCTATCAGTGCATATCTGATACAACATAAACAACAGTTAGGGCCTCATTACTCAGGGAAACGCTGTTAATCCTGTTATTAAAATGATCCTGTTGAGAGAAGAAGGACTTGTAATGAAATGAGTAAAGGGACTTTGTGGTTCATTATATAAGTCTACTAATGTCCTCTGGATTATTTGTATCTTGCACTCAAGAAAACACAAAACCTAGAAAATATTACTGATTGGCTGTTCGCTTCCTTTGATAAAACAGGTAATAACAAGAATTCATTCAACTTTTAGAGCGCTTTTCTGAGTCCTCAAAGACGCTTAACAAAGAAGAACAACAAAACAAAACAAAGAAGGAATAATCTTAAGAGAAGGAGGATGTAGGAGAGGGTTTTTAGGGACTTCTTGAAGGTGAAGAGTAAGGGGGGCAATGGAGAAGACCCTGTCCCCCCTAGGACTGATGCTTGATCCTGCAGAGGGGGAAGCAGGAGGTTTGCATCAGCAGAGTGCAGGTACAGTAGAGCAGAAGTGTGGGTCGCAAGACATTGAGAGGGGGTTGTGAGATTCCTTTCAAAATCATATAAAAATGAAAAATCACTTGATTATTTTACCCATTATTGTGAAAATATCTAAAAAATAAAGTTCAAGAGATGAATTATGTTCTGCTTCTAGCATTTATTACAATAAATTACTTAAATAAAATTAGCCTATTACTCTGCCAGCGTTAAATGTTTTGACCACCTCCATGAACAGTTTGGTTCTCCAGTCTCTAGCACCTTATTTTAGGGGTCACTGGCCGAAAAGTTTGGGAACCCTTGCAGTACAGGAGCTCTGACAGGTGGGGGGGGGGGTCTCGTACCGGGCCTTTACTGTAGTTTTTGGTATATTATTTTCAAAATCAACAACTGTTATTTATAGGTCAACTATTTTGTCTTCATGTTTTATTATATTTATATAGATTGTCAGTTTTTCAGTCATACTCATTTCTGTGTCTTTCTCTCTCTGCAGTAAATTCGACACTCTGATCCAGGCTCAGGCCAGAGAGCTGTCTCACCTCCGCCAGCGTCTGAGGGAGGGCCGCGGCGTGTGTAACATCCTCACCCAGCACCTGGGCGACACCACCAAGGCCTTCGAGGAGCTGCTGAGGGCCAACGACATCGACTACTACATGGGCCAGAGCTTCAGGGAGCAGCTGGCTCAGAGCGGGGCGCTCGCGCAGAGAGTCGGCGCCAAGATCAGCGGACGTGAGTAATGCCTCTGGAACGGTGGCCTGGAAGTGACACATTTCATCATTAGGCTGTCTGATTCATTTAAAGTCTGATTATTTTGTCTTTCCCTACAGGAGATCACACTGAAGATCCAGATGAGAAGACAGAGCTGCTCGCCATCCAGTCAGTGCTCATTCATCGCTCAGTCTGCATCACGTGTGTGTGTGTGTGTGTGTGTGTGTGTGTGTGTGTGTTTTCCTGTACATGTGTGTTATGTCACTGTCACTGTGTGCAGTGTAACGGCCGGCTGGACGTCTGCCAGTGGAAAGTATTGGTGTGTGACGCCCCGGTTGATGTTGAGTCCTCGGGGCTGAATAATCAGATGTTCACTCGATGTTCAGCGATGACCTCACAGGATAATTATAATTAACAATGGAGATAATTGGTTAATAAATGAGGGACAGGGGAGGACACGGACAGCCCAGATATCTCTTTGAATGTGCATCCTCATGGTTTTATTGGTAGTATTATTATTAAAGCAGTTTTCACCCTTTAAGCAGCTGCAGGAGATTCTTGTTTAAATCATCGTGTTTGAAATGACAGTAAATAAAAATGAGAACAGCTGGAGCATTTATTCTTTTTGCAAAGGAAACCAAACCTTTTGCATTGGTTGATACGTGGTTTTTAATATTTTAAATGGTTTGTGTGACTTTAAAGGTAAAATATTCTCCTCTATTTCAGCCCTGCTCAGAACAGGCTGTTTCTGTGTCTGTACCTTTAAATATGTAAATGAGCTTTGTCTGACCACGCTTGTTTGTTTGTCTCGTCCATCTCCTCCTGCTAACACCTCACTTCTCTTTCATCATTTTTATTTCATTCCCATCTTCTCTCTTTTCTCCTGCAATACCTGCAAAGACCACTTCTGCTCTTGGTTATGGTGTTTATGGTGCAGAGGGTCTCAATTTCAGAGTAAAAATAGCCGAGGCATTTGCTATATTAGCTCCTTTATGCTATCGTACAACAATGTCTTCCTTGTTCAACCTAAAACAAAGGCTGCATGTTTGTGCAATTTGAATTTATCTGTGTTACCTGAGAGAAAAACACGAGGATATTCCTGTCCTACATCCGTGTTCTTCATGCCACATGTCATATTTGTTTTCTTTCACGTCAGCTCTTATTTCCTGCTGAGAGCCGCTCGCTCTCAGCTGGCTCCACGTCACTTTGAGCCCTTCAGCTGCTCGTTAAGTCGGAGACGCTGCTCTGACATCACTGCTTACAAAACCCCTGAGCCCTGTGATGTCACTCACATCACCGCCGGGGCAGGGCACGATTGGGTAACCCTCCACCTAACACCCAGCCTTCACAAATGTAGCACTCTTTAATGTCTACTGAAGTGACTGAGCAAGGACCTTCGCTGCCCGGTCCGTCGGTTAGATAATCAGGCGGTCATCAGAGAGAGGAAGAGGATTAACACGCACTTAATAAAAGAGTCACAGCTTCTTCAACAGCTCTGGAGCGAGCCCCAGAAGTCCTGTAAAATCATTCAGTGAACGACTCCATTCTTAAACATGTGATTTAAAAACGATTTGTGCAAAGTTTGTCTTAGGCAGCAGGAACTCTCCCCGTAGACCAGCGAGCCTTTGAGAGATGGGGAGTCCCTTTACTGGTCCAGAGGAAGTCTCCTCAGGATGGTATCAAAGTCAAATAATCCGCATTAAACTCTAGATAGCCCAAAGAACCTGCCAAGAGCGGTTTCCATCACGTCTGTTTCCAAAATGTCCAGGACCAAACCTGCTTTAAGACAGCTGACTAAGCCTCTCAAGGTGCTCTATCATTTATGTCCCTGGTGGTCTGAATATTTAAAACACAGTCCTTGTCCCTTTCAGGGCCATATGTGAAAGCTCAGCTTGTGGCCATCTCTTCTGGATGAGCGCTGGATGTCCTGGATGTTCAGTCACGTGTAGCACGGCACCTGATTCTGTTTCATAACTCGACTCTGCAATGCTCATACCTGAGAGAGACGTCACACAGCTGCACGGGCACCATTTACAATCTATAGCCTTAACATTCATGTCTTTAGAAAGAATCATTTGCAGTTATTTATTTTTTTAAGCGTGCATGGTTTTTTAAATCCCTGAAATAAACAAGCAAAAAAATGTCCACTTCCTGTTGTTGGGTAGAAAGCGGTGAGTTTGGGTCACACTCGAGTAAACAAACTACGCTCAGTGATTAATTAGAGTGTCCCCTCAGAGAGAGAGAGAGAGAGAGAGCGAGAGAGAGGGGCCTGCAGTGATCTCACATCATGTCCTCACAGCACAGATGGCCAACCAGATGTGAGGGAGAATTAGCGAGTGTGTTTTCTGTGTCCCTCTGGTTCTGACGGAGCGTACATACAGTACAGTGTGTGTGTGTTTGTGTGTGTGTGTGGGGGGGGTCAGCCTGTGCATTAACCTATGCATTGACTTAATTCACACCCGGCCTATGTGACATATTGTGGGATTTAACGAGCAGACGTACACCTCATGATGGAGTAATGCAGAACGAACTGTCAACACATAGACGAATAACCATCCTGTGTTTGTGTGCTTTCATTTTGCGCCCAGCAGATTTATTTTAAATAAACAAGATATTTAAAAAAGAATGTCCTCACATTCTCAGTACACCTCTTGTAAAAAGCCATGTTAACATACAAAGGCTTTATTAAAGGTAGTTCAACATTACTGCTTTTGGCTTTAGATGACCAAGTTGATGTCTTTAGTTTTGCATTCAGGCTGCTTTTGTTATTTTTATACCAGAAGTGTGTAGCTGTCGAAGATCAGAGCTTATTAAATTGTGGTGATCTACCTTTTTATTCAAGCCTCTATTCAGTTACCTTTTGGCTTCATCCATAATTCCTCCACTAGCCAATGGGCTCCCTGACCTGACAATATCCGGTGGTTCATAAAATGGTTGCTTTTGTGTCAATGGTTGGAGTGTTAAAGGTCATATATTCTCCTCCTCTTCAGTTTAAATAAGTCTCAGAGCTCCTCAAAACATGTGTGAAGTTTCTTGTTCTAAATCCACTCTGATCCTGTATTTGATCATGTCTATAAACCCCTCTATTTCAGCCCTGCTCAGAACAGGCTGTTTCTGTGTCTGTACCTTTAAATATGTAAATGAGCTGTGTCTGACCACGCCCCCTCTCTGGAAGGGCTTAGGTGGGCTCGGTGCTTTCTCACTCCATGTCCTATTGTTTACGGTGAGAAGGCAGACTCAGAGGGCAGAGCAAACACCTAGCTGTGGGAGTGTCACCCACCTGGGGGAGGGGCTACTGCCCTTTGTGATGTCATGAAGGGAAAATCTCCGAAACAGCCTGTTTGAGCACACATTTTCTGAATCTCAACAAAACGCTATAGGTCGTAAAAGTTATTTTAAGAGGTCTGTTTCCTCAAAGTTGCAACCTCGGCAAACTTTATTTTAAAACCCACTGAAGCTGACGTTTAATTCAACCGCAAAAGTTCTTCTTTTAGGAGGCGTCGGTAGCGTTCTGGTTCGTGCGCTCAAATCCGACCTGTGGCTGTAGGATTAGGTTAAGTCAAGATGTTATAGGGTCCTGTGGAGTGTGTCACAAAGCAGCAGTTACTTATATCTAGTGTACAAACATTTCATCTCAACACAGAGTTCTGATCTCCTGTGATAAGGATTAACTTCGGGCTGTTTTAGATTTCTTCTTATCCACTTAAATACATTTTTATGCAAAATGTGATTGCACTGATGCTGCCATGCTGCTGAGGCTTCTGCTCGCTGCATTGGGCCCTGCGCGTGTTGACATGGCTTCTAATCAGGTTAAGTTATTAAAACCGCCGCTGGGGAGGGAAATAGGTCAGAAGCAGCTAAACGCAGAGAGAGAGAGAGAGAGAGAGAGAGAGAGAGAGAGAGGGAGGGAGGGGGAGTTAGAGCGAGGGAAAACGTGAGGGGAAGCCGCAGAGGGACGGAGCAGGACAGAGAGAGCATCACTTTGCTTTAGTGTATCGGGAGCAGCACATGATGATTTAGATCCTGCAGCACTCTGAAGGATTTTAAGCGTCACAAACAGGTTTTTTTAAATGTTGGACTCGAGGATGATGCAGATTTTACTCAGATTGTATTACATGTTCTTGGATTACCTTCAAACTCAAGCTGGATGTTAAGTTTCTACATTCCTTGCGACGTGGATCTCCTTTTTTCAAATCTAGAGAAGACACTTTTTAAAGCCTCAAAGAGAAACGCTTTGCATGCAAAGATTTCTTGTTCTGAAAAACTACAAACAAGAAGAGAAGACGCAGAGCCGCTTTGTGAACGATCATTCATTCAGCTTCTGCTTCGCTCCCTTTTCTCTCCGATGGGCAGTGCAGCGTGAACGCACGAGCCCTCAGGACCCGGACATCCGTTTTAAACGCCATACCCCTCCTCTTTTCCCTCTCCTCCCTCTTCGTGTTGCTCTTTCGTCACTACAGCTCTCCCTCGGGGCTCCTCCTGCTGCTGATGCTGATTCTGCTGCTGCTGGTGGGATAGGATGTGCCCATGAGAGGCTTTCCCTTAAGAGCACTATTCAAGATGCAAAAAGAAGAGGACTGAAAACCTGCACCTATAGGAAGAGAAAGAGTCAGTGTGCAGCTGATTCCCCACAGAGCTAATTATAAATGTCATGCCTAACCTCATCACAAGCTGTAAGAGCAGATACAACCTTTGCTTTGTGCTTATATTGGAGCTTCATCGGGATAGAGTTCTTTAAATCTCTGCTGGCAGCTGTTCCTGTCACCACACCATCCGACTGATCAGCTTTGCTTGGATCTAAAACATTTGGACGTCATGCCTGTTGATTCAACAAATGCACAGATCTTTTAATTCTGCTTCAACATTTCTTGGTTTCCTGACCTTCAGCATTCACACTTCAGTCTTTGTCTACCTTAGAATCTGATTTCTTTGCCAAAACGCCCCCAGAGTGTGTGGGTAAAAGGGAGTCACCAGAATCCATCTCTCTGGGAAGCCCCGGCCTAATCTGAGGATTTACTCTGCTTTTCACCTGCTCCGCTCAGTCATCCCTCCATCCCCTTTATCCTGTGCTCACGCTGTACCTGCTGTCACACACACAGCCAGGGGTCACAAACTCTGCAGCGAAAGCCAATGAGCCACGTTGGGTTACCTCAGGTGACACAGCTGGGAGGAAAAACAGCGACAGGAAAAGTTCTAATCGACAAGGGAGCTTAAAAAGAGAGGAGAACACACGGTTGGGGTGGGGAGGGATGGTCGGTCAGTAGCCCCAGGCAGAGGGCTGTCGGCTGGGGAAGCAGGAGGGGGGGCTGAAGGGGGGCAGATGGCTCCTCTGTGGAAGGCCATGCTGTCGAAAAGCAGCCCGCTGTACCGAGACTCGCTGTTCTCCTTCACGCTGTGGGAGTGGAAAGCTCAGGAGGAGAGCTGCTGCTCCTCAAGAAAATCACAGACAGAGAGAGGAGGGCGCTGCTGACACAACTCGACAAGTAAGACACAAAAACAACCAAGGAGGGAAACATTCAACAACCAAGAAGTCAGTTTTATTAAAGCATGTCAGATCCACATTCTCTGCTATTCAACTGTGCAAACAAGATAAATCAAATGTGGAAATGAAGGTGAAAAAATTCCACTAAAATCAGACATAATAAATGATTTGGTACCATAACAAAGAACATAAGAAGACTAGACTCTGCAGGTTAGAAACCTCATGATTGTTTTGTAACTGGGACAGTAACACCGATGACCCCTCTGTAGACAACAAGTCCACACTTGGGCAAATTTGGACTCTGGGGAAACCCACCTGGGACCAAGCCGAATTCGATCCAAGTTTCCAAGAAGACCTCACATGAGTTAGCCAAAAACTGGTCGTTTTAGGACCCTTTAAGGGCTCCACAAAGGACCAGTATGAGTAGAATCTGGTCCACTCTGGACCCATGTAGCACCCATGTTTGCAAACAAAATGACATGCCAACCTTTAACCCATTTAGCCTGTTCTCTTTTGGGTTGGACGGATCCCAACACCAACCAAAATTAAAAGCCGTTACTGGGTCCACAGGTTCAGGACATGTTGGCCCCTCGGGGACATCTGTTGTCTGCTGCAGCAGCTCAGTTTTTAGTTTGGTGGAAAGTTCACACTAAATCCCGACTTTGAAATGAGTTAGTTTGCATCATAAGATGTGTCAGTGTTTGGTTACCATGGAGACGTGAGGTTCTTCTTAACTAGTAGAGCATGACGTCCAAACTAACCAAAATATTGTCGAGGATATGACGTTTTAACTTGATGCGACCAATCAGTGAGCAGCATTGTTCGTAAGTTCCAGTTTTTCCTCTCGTGTCTGATCGTCTTTCTGCAGACAAACGACTGACGTTAATCCACAAACACAAACTCAGATGTTTGTACAATATAACCAAAGCCACTCACCTAATCAGTGACATCTAGTGGTGAAATCTTCAACTACAACATGAGGTCATTTAACAGTCCTCTGTGATTGGACGATGAAACTTTCTGAGCTCGTGAAAAACTAAAGCAGGAGTCAAAACAAAGTCATGAAAACCCTCTTCTGCTCCTCCTCATCGTCGACGTTATCCCACCTTTCAAACACCATCACCATGACAACCATATTATACAGAGGGCGTCGCACCTACTATAGGAGCTAGGTGTAAGGTGTAACTTCTGCCTGTAGGTTGGAACAGTCTCAGCTGGTGCAACTTACCTAAAATGTTAAAAGAGCGTAAACGCCGTCCTTAATTTTGGAAATAACTTTCAAGCTAGACTATGTTTGAACTCAGAGCGGCTGACACGCAGAGCGCGTTACATCATACATACTTTCACTACGTCATACTCTGAAAGACATCAGAAGGAGACACACAGGGAAGACATCTGATGTACATTTTGAAAAGTATAGGTGGCTTACTTAAAGGTTACGATGTCACTTGTGAATGTGTGTGACCATGTTCAAGCCTTGAGTGTCTGTGTGTGTGTGTGTGTGTGTGTGTGTGTGTGTGTGTGTGTGTGTGTGTGTGTGTGTGTGTGTGTGTGTGTGTGTGTGTGTGTGTGTGTGTGTGTGTGTGTGTGTGTTTATTTAATGCATGTGTGTGTATCAGCCTGTCATTGATTTGGATGAATGACCTCCACTGCAGAATGTGTGCACCACCACATCACAGTATATTAAATCAGCTGTAGGGGACACACTGCATGCACATCATGTGTCTTTATCTGTTGTTGTTGTTGTTGTTGTTGTTGTTCCTCCACCTTCTTATGCATGTCTGCTTTCCCTCCTTTTAAAAAAAAAATGATGTCTGCATTGTGTTACCCCGAGCGGCGGGATGTGGTTTCATGCGTCATGTGCCGCTAAGAGGCTTCCCTAAAGCATCACAATGCAGCCAAGTTAAAGCCTGTGGCAGGTGACTCACACACCTGGGACATCACGGCTCATTAATGCTGCTTATCCTTTCAGTCACAAGGCAGATTATGCAGCAGTGCACTGCAGGTTGTGTCTGTGCTGTCGAGGCTCATTTCTGTCGCTTTATGGATTCACAACCTCAAAGACTCTGTGCAGGACGAGTAACAGATTTTATTGAAGGTCATGTTATGTTATGTAAACTCCACTAATATGTGTCCCTACAGGTCGATAAACCCCTCAATATATTCACTAGTGGTGGAGAGTAAAGTGAACTGAATATCTTTTCTGATTATAACACATAATAATTATATGTGTGTGTGTGTGTGTGTGTGTGTGTGTGTGTGTGTGTGTGTGTGTACAGGCTGAGTAAGGAGCTGCAGCAGAAAGACAAAGTCATCGAGTCTCTGCGCGCTAAACTCAACCAGCATCACACCCACCACCATCCTCATCGCTCTGACACGCCCTGCAGCGGCCGCGCCCTCTCGGACACCACTGACCAATCGGATGATCGCATCTCCTACGTGTCCGACGAGCGCTGCTCACCCAACGAAGACCTGGAGCTCTGCTCTGATGTGGACGCTGCCAGCGAGCTCGGTCAGAAGGAAACACAGACGTCGTTGTCGTCTGCCAGACTGAGCACGGGTGAGAGAACAGGACACACACACACACACACACACACACACACACACACACACACGTCAGGCTGATTCAGGAGAGTTTGTGCACGGCTGCAGAGAACAAACGGGGACCTGGAAATGAAAAGAAAAGACAAGAATCACTGATTTTTAGCACATTTTTATGATCTGATTTCCCAACTTAAGATTCCATTTAGAGGGAAATATACAAAACATGCACACCTCCTCTTTCAGTCCCTGCTTCTTTTTTTTGTCCCTATCAGTTTCCTTATGTTCTGTCTGTATCAGACCATGCATCATTAGTCTGCCTCCATTTTAGCCTTAATTCTTGTAGGAAGTTGAGATCCCTTTTCCACAGCTAATCACAAAGGATCTGCATATTTGCCTGAGTCATGCATCTTTTTTAGTCGACACTGCTGCATAGCAAAGGTAACACTGGCACCACTAATATTGAAATTGCTTTTTAAGGCAGTATACTCAGATATTTGGCTAACACAGCAGAACAAAGCTTTGGACTGATTGGCTCATCATCATTAGCCCCCTCCCCCCTGCAGCTCTATACTTGGACGGATAAATCAGTTAAATATCTCAAACACTGACTCATTAGTACACACAGTCCAGTCGGCAGAATTTAAAGTCTTTGACCCGGGCAATGTGGTGTTTAGAGATGTGATCAGAGGGCTTTTGAAGTTGTTCTCGTTGGGTTTTGAAGAATACTGAGTGGGCTGGTTACAGGAGTGTTTAGACTGCTGAAAAGGAGGAACTGTTTGGAGAAGTTGGGGTTTGATGCAGTTTCCAGAAATGGTCAAAATATTCTGCTGCAATGTGGAGGAAACTAGAATGCTGTGAAACCAGCAGACTCTGCAAAACGGTCGATAAATGTGACAAAAGATTATGAGACTGATGGAAATTAAATGTTGTTTCTGGATCTATCGGCCCAGCTTTATATTAGCCTCGGTCTGCATCAAATTTCCACAAGATTTCCACACATCCATTACATATGATGCACTCCTTGGGCTCTTCTCTGTCATACGGTGAAACACACACACATGCACACACACACACACACACACACACACACACACACACATCTCGCTGGTGTCTGTTCCCTCTTCCTCGTCCTTTAGTTGAAGCAGACTCTGTTCATTTCCAGATCACCTCTCTCACAGCGGCTCCACCTCCCATCACCCGTCTGCCCCTCCATCCATCACCTCATCCCACAGATCCCCGTCCTGCCTCAGCTGTCCCAGCATGCAATGCCCCAACTCTCCATTTAAACCTGCAGACATGCAGAGTCACACAGGTAGGGAATGGAGTCGACCGTCACCTGGTACCTGTGAGCTGCTGCTCTGTGCAATCCTGCTGTCCTTTTTTTTCTTGCCTGATTTTCTCCTTTATTCTTTGAACTCCTCCCCTCCTCTCCTCTCCTCTCCTCTCCTCTCCTCTCCTGTCCTCTCCTGTCCTCTCCTCTCCTCTCCTCCTCTCCCCTCCCCTTCTCTCCTCTTCCTCTCCTCTCCTCTCCTCTCCTCTCCTCTTCCTCTCGTCTCCTCTACTCCCAGCTCCAGTCTTCACCTTTCAGCCTCCCCTGTCCTCATCCCACACTCAGAGGGTCCCTTTGCCCCTCCATCCTCACCCCACGCCCCTACGGAGCTCGTACCAAGGCGGCGGGGGAGCAGGTTTCTCCCTGGCCGAGGTGCATCAGGAGCTGCAGATGCTGCAAAGGCAGCTGGGAGACACGGAGAGTGCGTCAGACTCACCGTACATGCATGAGTGTTTGTGTGCATGGGTTGGTGACTACAGACTCATTTAACAGACTTTGTGCTGCTCCTTTATCGATTGAGAATTCAAATCGCTCAATCGACTGATTATGCAACAAAATGATGAATCAGGAGAATCAGTGAAATCTAATTGGCCAACACCAAATCCTAGACAATGATGAGCTATTTGCTTTGTCAGAAGCGGCGCTTATCCTAAAATCAACTATTTGGGCTTTATGAAGTGGGCTGCTCGTAGTTTTCAGTGTTGCACTTCTTTTTTATTTGTACTGTAAATTGTATAAAAATGCTTTGCACATGTACTTCTTTAGATTGGTGCTAGTGGGATGAGTCTGGCAAAAACTGCAGGCAAACTCCAGCACACGTATTGCCAGTAAATGTTTGCTGATGCATTTTTGTAAGTCAGACAGTGTACAGCTGCGTGCATGCAATTTCGAAGTTTATACTTTGGACAAACATCTTTTTTTTTGAGTCCGTAAAGAATGAAGCTTAGAAGATTTTGTTTCTTTGTTGTGTTGAAGTTAAAAAAACATCTGTATGACACTTTATTGTTCAGGGTCACAGTAGACATGATTAGTGAAGATTGAAGGGTAAACAAACATTTCTTTATGTGTGCATGCTTGAGATTATGGAGTATAGACAAACTCAGTCAGAAGAGTCTGGACACACTCCTGCCCCCTGCTGGTCATTAGGAGGAATGCCGGTCACCATCAGTATGAGGATCTTGATGTTAAAGTTGCTGCATGTGGATGCACAGAGAGTGAAACAGACCAGTTTTATTAATCCTCATCTCCCCTACGACCTTTTCCTTTTCCTCTTTCTTCTTCTCCTCTTTGCCTTTATCTTTAACACACTGCACTCTCTCTCTCATTAATTACGGGCTCCTCATTCGATGCTTAACGAACCCCGAGCAGCCAGCTTATGAAGGATTTGCAGAGATCTTTGAACACTAATGACAGAGTTTGAAATAGAAGAACAAACTGAAAAGAAAAGCCTGCGTCTTTAACTCTCCCTTTCCTGCCCTCTCACTAACACTGTTTATTTTTAAACCAGACTAAAGTGCGTCTGTGCCTCTGCGTCTGACCTGGAGTGTATTCTTCCTTCTCTCACCTTCTCACCTGATGTTGTTTCCTCCTCTTCTCCTTCAGGGTTTTCGACCCCTCAGTCCAAACCTCTCCAGGGTTTCCCGTTCGCTCACCAGCAGCCCGACTCCTCCTCCTTCCTCCCGCTCTCCTTCCACGGATACCAGCCGTCTCCGTTCAGCAGCGCCACCAGCAGCAGTCTGGAAGCCAGCATGGCGATGAAGGCCGGGGCCAGTCTGCTGGAGAGCAGTGCATTGTGGGATATGGGCTATGGACCTAGACCAGTCAGACTGGGAGCTGACCTGTCTTCAGGATCGTCTGGTTACCAGTCAGGCACCAGTAACACAGGTAAATACACAGTTAGAGCCCGACAACTCTCCCTGGGTTAAAGTATAAAGTTTCTTATTTCTTCTACCCGCTCTGTTCACTGATATCAGAGATACACACTTCACACACACACACATCAAAAGGGAGATTCACACACTAAGCAGACTGCAGCAGCTGAGATTTAACAGCTGTGATGTCGAGATTGATCCAATCAGGAAGCAGCAAATTCCAGTTGCACTGATCAATCAGAGGCAGCGCCTGTTTGACTGACGCACCCACAGACACACTCACAGAAACACACACACACACTCACTGCAGGAGATGGAGCTGTACATATACCCAAATAAAACTTTATCAATAAAAAATACAACACATGGTCAAAACAGTGAGGTCATTGAGTGGAAGGAGGAGTGAGCCTGTGTGCTGTGACTCGACACAGACGGAGAAAACTGTGAGCCTGACTCCTCAGGAAGACGTTCTGAGGTGGATTGTTAGGATGGTTTCACATTAGGGACCCGGGCCCAGTCTCATGTTGCTTTAAAAACCGTTGTATCGGCGCATCACAGGCCCATTTCATCCTCTGAGCTGCAGGAATATTGGGCATGATATGATGGAGAAAAGTCAGAAAAACAGAGCATGCAGAGTTGATGTGTGAGGATTGATTATTATTTTTTTGTAGGTTCCGACCTGATGAAGGAACACCTGAGGGAGATCAGGAGTCTGAGACAGAGACTGGAGGACTCCATCCAGACCAACGACCGCCTCCGTCAGCAGCTGGAGGAGAAGCTGGCACGCACCACCACAGAGAAAGGTAACTCTCACACACACACACACACACACACACACACACACACACACACACACACACACACACACACACAGTGAGTGAAATGATAAAGTGACCTTACTATCTGATCAGACATTAAGGAAACATGTTGAAGTGCTGGCTTCTCTGACAACAATGCAGCAGCCAGTATGTCCTCCTTCTAACTTTAGATTCTGCTCCTGAATGCTCTGGATTTGTTTGGACCAGAGAAGGTAGGCGCTTTTAAGACCCCCCCCCACACGGCCGTTTTGGACACCCCTCGGTTTGTCAGATATGAGAGCAGTTATCAGGTCAACAGGTGTTACAGCGATGGAAGCGGGCAAGAGAAGTGGTTCAGATAGAAGTGATTGTACCCGACCTAAAAAGCCTCTGCATGTTTCTAATAAGCTCCACGAGCAGAAACGTGCTCAAACTAGGATCAATATTGGAGATGCTTTTGAAAAATGGAGAGGTTAGAACACAGAAAGGTTTACAGACCCATGCAGAGCTGGATAAACACTGAAGCTTCAGAGTCCACCACATGGTGACCTGAGTGAGCATCCACTCTACAGGGGGGGGGGAGACAGCTCTCTACAATGTTTAGAATTTAGACTGCAGTACCCATTTTAAACACTAGGTGTCAGAGTTACATATTGCTCCTTCAATACTACATACAATAAGTTTTAAATAAAGTTTTGTTGGTTGAATTATTTTTATCAATGTTTTCTGTCCAGGTGCTCCTACCAACATCTACATCCAGGGTCTGGACTCGGTCAGTCAGCTCTCCAGTGAGATCAGACTCCTGAAGGAGGAGAACGTCAGTCTGCAGAACCAGCTCAAACAAGCCACCAGAGGTCAGCATTCAATACAAAAACAAACATCACTGACATTTCTAACATCATAATCTTCAAAGATGTGTTCAGCAGATTTCTATATTTTCTGCAAGAATTCAAAGTCCTGGTTTTAGTTTTGGTTTCATTTGGGGTTGAATCCTTCGCTCATCCCCCGTGCTGTCATGTTTCCTCCTGCAGAGGGCAGTAAGGAGGCGGAGCAGCTGAGGGAGGCGTCGCTCCTGGACCGGGCAAGGTTAAAGGAGGCGGAGCTAGAAGCTGTGAGGTGGGCAGAGCAAATCAGGAAGCAGCAAAGTGAGGATGAAGCCCGAACTCATGAGATTTCACAGCTGAAACAGGACAGACTGCGGAACCAGGAGGCCGTCAACAGGTGTGAGAGAGAGAGAGAGAGAGAGAGAGAGAGAGAGAGAGAGAGAGAGAGAGAGAGAGAGAGAGAGAGAGAGAGAGAGAGATGAGGGTTCAGGATCCTCAGTTAATTCATAAGAATAACTTTGAATGATTAATAATGCATATCTCTACGTGTCCATGTCTTTAGACTCCAGCATGAGGTGAGCGTCCTCCAGCAGCAGCTTTCTGAGAGCCGTAGTTTGGTCCACGGTCTTCAGTGTGAGCTGCAGGTGTACCACAGAGTGTGTGGAGTCCCTGCAAACACACACACAGGTATGAGCTGCGACTGTATCTACAGCCTCTTACTAACTTTTTAATAGTTTCCTGCAGATAGATCTTCAGGAGTGTATTTGTCAAAAAAAAGGCTACTGAGTGGATTTTGATCAACATTTGTGTCTTTGTTGTTCATAATCAGGTAAAGCCGGAGACGGCGACCATCTGGGACACAGCAGTGCGGCGTTTGACCCCAAAGAGCTGCACAGTCAGCTGGAGCAGCAGCTGAGCAGACAGAGCGACGCGCTGCCTCGGTCCAGGAGGAAACTCTTCAACGGTCAGTGTGGAAAATAAAGTGACTTTTTTAAAACCCCCAAAACAGTGAAATATGTTGTTTAAAGGAGACGGTTTCTGCAGCTCAGTGATGGTAGATGTTTGTCCTTACACAGATAACGTCCCCTCGCCGCCCGTGAGAGACACTGGACTCGTCAGCCCGTCTTCTCCTCTGCACACCGCTCAGAAACACAAAGAAGAAGCTGAAGACAATCAGGGTGAGAAAATCACATTCAGGCCACAATGAGACGGTTTTCACCCGTTCATTAACGTGTCAGAGTTTCATTTGATTCTACTCTCTCCTTAATTTACCTCTTGTTAGCCTCTTGACTCATTTGCTTTCCCTCCCTGCAGCCTCGACTCTGCAGGGTCAGGCCCCAGATGGCTCGTTCGCAAACCGTCATGGCCGACACGCAGTGGGCCACATTGATGACTTCAAGGCTCTGCAGCAGCAGATCCTGGAGGGATGCGCCCTCCTCCGAAAGATGGAGGTCGGCCTGAGTTCTCTGAACGCGGCGCAGGAGTTCAGGCTTCATCAGGTGAGGGATGAACAGAGCAGGTGCTGCTGCTGTGGCGCCAAACACTAACGATATTCTGCTGCTGCTGCAATAAGACATTCCAAACGCTGACAAAGTGAGGTGTCTGACTCAAGTTGTCTGTTGTGTCTCTCAGCTTTCAGATTCAGGTTCTGTCAGGAAGCTGCTTTCTGACGCTAAAACCCTCCGACAGATCCTGGAGGAGTCGGACTCTCTGCTCCGGATGTTCTGGAGAGCTGCTCTGCCCGACAAAAGTGAAACCAAACAGGTCAGACAACAAACAACGCTGGGACAGGAGGGTCTTTGTTCCTTTCTGCGAAATCCGCACACCTTATATTATATTTACTTCATGTTATCTGTGGTACACACTCTCTGAGGTGTTCTGACAGGAACATTTTAGATCCAGGAGGAGAGAGCTGAATAAGTCTGCAGCACTTAATGTCAGACTGCAAGGAAATATGTAGTTATCAAGACTTATTTAATTTATTATTAACTTGATAAAACTTAAGTCAGTGCGAGTTGAATGCACTAGTCACGAGAACATTTGAAGATTGTATTCCGGACATGTGAAGTTTAAAGGTCACATATTATACAAAGTCCATCCTCTCCGTCTTTTGCCTGCTCCACTTTTCAGAAAATGTGTGCTCAAAAAGGCCGTTTGGAGATTTTCCCTTCATGACATCACAAAGGGCAGTAGCCCCTCCCCCAGGTGGGTGACACTCCCACAGCTAGGTGTTTGTTCTGCCTCTGAGTCTGCCTTCTCACCGTAAACAATAGGACATGGAGTGAGAAAGACCGAGTACACCCAAGCCCTTCCAGAGAGGGGGCGTGGTCAGACACAGCTCATTTACATATTTAAAGGTACAGACACAGAAACAGCCTGTTCTGAGCAGGGCTGAAATAGAGGGGTTTATAGACATGATCAAATAGAGGATCAGAGTGGATTTAGAACAAGAAACTTCACACACATGTTTTGAGGAGCTCTGAGACTTATTTACACTGAAGAGGAGGAGGAGGATATGTGACCTTTAATCAAAATGTATTCACTAGACAACATCCTAAAACGATGATTTTTTCCAAACGTTGATTTCTGCAGCTTCATGATTGTTGTGAACTTACACCATATGTCTGTGCTTGTTTTAAAGGATCAGTCTCTGAGGGAGGAGGTCGTCTCTCTGCATCTGAGGCTTTCCGAGAAAGAGGAGGCTCTAAAGGACGCCATGGAGAGAGTGAAGAGCTCCAACCTCACCAAAGATAGCATGGAGCACTTTATAGTCAGCCAACGTGAGTCACTGATACTCCTGTTGTTCCTCTTACATCTTATACAACCACAACACTGGATTCATTTTTACTAAAAGACCAAATTACTTTTTATGTAACAATTTTTTAATTTTAGTTCTTATTATTCATGCAAAGCTGTCTGTTGTTATTTGATCTCTTCATGATTTTAACCCAACGAGTTCTAAACATTTGAAGATGTTTTATCGTGAGCTTATAAATAAATGACTCTCCTGATTATAAGTAAAGTTCATTGTGAAGAAAGGCGGTCTAAACTGAAAGTCTGAGGCACTGCCTGTAGCCTCAGACTTCATAAAAAACACAGAGATGACACATAGACCTCAACCTTTAACCTTTTATTTATCTGACTTTTTCCTGTTTCTTCATTCTCAGTCTCAGGACAGCTTCAGATAGACAGCGTCTTGTATATTCACTGCTCATCTGAAACCTTCTTTTAATCAAATGTATGATGAAATGTCGACTTACAGACGCTCTGTGTGTTTGTTTACAGTGTCGAGGACCCGGGACGTGTTGAGGAAAGCAAAGACAAACTTACAGGTGAGTTCAGCTGGATCACGTTAGTCCTGGTTTTAACATATTTTGTGCCTGCAGGTAGGATGAACTCGGCTCATGCCTAGTTTTCTCAACAAGCACAGACAAAGCCACACACCTTCTCACCTCTCTCCCACTGTGTCTCTTTCCTTTGACTCCTGCTGAGGCTCCTCAGGAGAACCAGCTCAGGATTTCCTCCCTGCACCGCGCCCCTTTCACTACTCCCCCTTCCCCTGCCTCCTCTTTTCCATCCTCCCTCTCCTCCTCCTCCTCCTCCTCCCCCTCACACCCCTGGCTCAGCAAAGGTACAGTCCCCTTGCTATGCTGTGCACTCTTCAGCCCCCTAACAATGCCATGAAGCTGCTTGTGTTTGTTTGAAAACCCTTTAAATAACGATAATTTCCCGCTTTCAGCCTGTGTGACTAAATTTGAACAGGAAGAAGGTCCAACAAGTTGCAATATGACAAACTATCAGGGCCTCACATGTCTGCACAGAGATTTTAATCACTGAGGAACATTATTTTCAAAAGTGATTTTAAAGCACACACATCGATATGAGCAGAAATAAAGGTGAATAATGTATGCATACAGATTTGAAGCCTACAGAGGCAGATACATGAAATGAGACAGAGAGGGAAAGACTGGACTGAGGGCTTTTGCAAAGATAGTGTGTTGGCTGCAGTGTGTGTTTAACTCAAAGGAGAATGTAAAAACATGTTGTGTTCGCTGAAGCCGTTATCCACTGGAGCTAATGTTTTCAAGTTACTAATGATTCCCTTAAAACCACTAATGTGCACCATACGTGTTGGTTCAGTCCTTTAAATGTTTGTTTCTATTATCAAGAGTGATGGAGTTTGCTTTGACTAAATCATGCATCACATCAAAATCAAGTTTGCAAAGTACGTTCACACATGCAAGGAACATGTCCTGGTGTTTGGGTGCGAAAAACGAAGAAAACATCAAAAGAAAAGGAAACATAAAAGAAGAGTCTTTGACTTGTGTGTGTAAATATGAGCCATTTAAAACACAAGGTAGCACATTTAAATGATAACATGGTGAATTGACTTGAGCTTTTAGATTTATTTTCTAGTCTTCTGACTACTCAAAGCGCTTTTACACTGCAGGTCACATCTACACATTCACACACTGAAGGTAGAGGCTGCTGAGTAAAGAGTCCATCAGTGTTAACTCATCCATTCATACACATTCAAACGTCGCTGAAGAAGCAGTGGGAGCAATTTGGGGTTAAGTGTCTTGCCCAAGGACATGTGGGACATGTTGCTGCAGAAGCTGGGGATCAAACCCTCGACCTTCCAGTTTAGAGACGACCCATTTAAAGATGGTGGCACGTTTAAAAACCCTTAAACATGCTTAAAAATCAACATATGCATCATGAAAACAGAATCAAAACAGACACAGTAGATTTAAATTAAAGCATGATGCGAGGTTCTTGAAGTGAATCATGACGAATGTGAAGTAAGGTTATGAAATGACAATTTTCTCAACGTCTCCTCGTTTGTGTTTCAGGTGAAAACGCCGGAGGCTTCTGTGAGCTCGCCTTCTCTCCTGGTTGGGGTGTCATGAGGCCTCTGACTTCCTCCTCTTCCTCTACTGTCCAGGGAGCAGCGCATCACCACGAGCGCCTCCTGCAGTCAGTGCTCCTGTAGTGCACCAGCCCCAAGCTCCTCCTCCTCATAATCAACATCTACAGTTCAAATAGAAAACGCTGTAAGGTTCTGGCTCTCTTATTGGCTGGAGGAACATTTCAGTTGAGTGACGTCCGTCTGAGTGTAGAGGAATGTTTGTGTTGTCAGATTTCTGTAGGTCGCTGAGAGTGACTAAATGTTAAAGAGTGTAGTTTTTTATTATGGGTGAGATGTGTGTGCAGGTGCTGAGAGGAGAGGACATCAACTGAAATGTTTTTTCTTCTTCATACGAGACCAGACTGAGCTCGGCTGAAGTTGGCTTATTATTCAGAGTTTCTAATTTTCCCACCTTTTTTACAAAGACCTGAGTGACGTCGCCCGTCTGTTACTGCAACGATGGCGGTCTTCATGCTGGAAATCTGGTCTCACCATGACTTTCAGGGCGTGCACAAACCAATGTGGGTCGTCACCCTCGATTTAGTTTTGGTCTTTTTGCCTTTACTCCAGAGGAAAGTGGATAAAGGAGGTAATCAGGGAGAGACATGCGGGAAAGGAGCCACAAGTCGGACTTGAACCTGGGCCTGCACGCTTTGAGGACTTCAGCCTCCATACATGCGGTGCGACCTATCGGCTATACGTCCCTACGTCCACTTTCTCAAACAGTCTATGGCTCAACCTTTACATTATTTAACGTTAGGTTGGTTTGAGTCGATAAAAAACATCAACACAACAACTTTCTGCTTTTCAACATGATAATTTGTCCTGGTTTTGCAACACAAGTGGAAGATATCCCTCTTATCTCTTCAATCAGATGTTCAGAATCAGAAGCCGACTTCAGCCTCGTTCTTCAGCAGGGACTCAAGGAACAAAACTCCACATGACACCAGCAGGAAAGGGGCTTTAAAAAAAAGAGCCAAAACCAAACTGCAAAGTGCTTCCTGTCGGTCTCTGTCGAGCCTCATGTTTGTAGTTAAGCGTGTAGAATAGTTGCATGTGCTTTGAGCAGCTTGTGGAAACAAAGCCATACTCTCTGATGAAACAGTAGATTTTGATTAGTCCTCATTGTACAACAAGTGTCATAAAAATGGCCGACTACTGATACAACACTGATAGAACTACCAGTAGGCAGTTTAGTCATAGCTGGTAGACGATGTTTCCTCATATTTACTCAGATTTAAATCTCCAGATTCATCCACTCCAGAGTATTACTGTTCAAAAAATAAAAAGGAGTCAGTTCTCGTCAGATATTTAAAAAAAAATTAAATAAGGGTCCAACCCAGTTTGTCCTGCTGAAACACAAAACCTGCAGAGATGGAAAGCCTTCTAATGAACCAATGTTATTAAGATAAAACAAGCATGAGGTACAGACCCACAGGAGAAGATTGATTAATGTAAGAGTGCACGGTCCAAGAGAGATGACATTTCAGCTTTAAAACCAGAATGCGGACCACACTTTTTTATCTTTTTTTAATATAAATATTTAGGTGTATTTTTCTTTTCATGCTTAATTTGTGAATATTTCTACTTCCCTAGAGGTGACAATCACTTTCAAGACAACAATCAATTCTTAGTCCTCTTTAATTTAGGATGCTTTCTCTGAATCCTCTGCAGGATCTCTGATGCTCACTGTGCAAATCATCCTTTCTGGAATTTCGGTATTCTACACTGGCTTTCTTTCTTTTTGAGTTCTTCTTGATTTCTCTGTATAGTAGTGTAGCTGATTGTTTTCTGTGCATGAACTGTGGCGTCAACGCCCTTTATATTACTTTGATGAAAAATATGCAATCTTTTGGGTTACTGTGCAATAATAGCCTTTATAGTTTGCATTTTGTGGATGTTTGGGTTGTTAAAGTGCCATGTTTTCTGTTCAAGCTTAGATGATAATCTCCAGCTTTTTGACAATCAAGGAGTTTTAACGGGCCTCTCATTTTGAGCTTAAAGGTCACATATTATGTACCATGTTCCTCTAACACTAATGGGTGTGTCTAGTTCCCCCAATGATGAGAAAAGTCTGTTTTCTCTGTCTTTCACCTGCTCCACTTTTCAGAAAATGTGTGCTCAAACAGGCAGTTTGGAGATGTTCCCTTCATGACATCACAAAGGGCAGTAGCCCCTCCCCCAGGTGGGTGACACTCCCACAGCTAGGTGTTTGTTCTGTCCTCTGAGTCTGCCTTCTCACCATAAACAATAGGACATGGAGCGAGAAAGCCAGAGCCACCCAAGCTCCTTACAGAGAGGGGGCGTGGTCAGACACAGCTCATTTACATATTTAAAGGTACAGACACAGAAACAGCCTGTTCTGAGCAGGGCTGAAATAGAGGGGTTTATAGACATGATCGAATACAGGATCAGAGTGGATTTAGAACAAGAAACGTCACACACATGTTTTGAGGAGCTCTGAGACTTATTTAAGGAGTATAATATGTGACCTTTAATGTGATTTAGTGTTTAAAACAAAAAGTGGAAAAGTAGCATCATAAAAACGCACTAGAGCTACATATTTATAAAAGCAATAAGATCAACCAAAGTGGAAAACTTGCGTATTGATGAATCAGGTGTACAAATAGTTGAAGTTGAAGTGTTTAGTTGTGTTTTCTCCCGCAGGTCAAACTCAGTGTCTTTCTCAGTGTCTGTGTGGGTTCATGAACCACAGCTCATGTATGTACAGATTCAAAACGAGAGCGTACATCAATGCAAGTTTTTATTTGATGCTGTTGGACAAAGGCCAGCTGTATTTCTATGCATGTTCTCTTTATAAAAAAAAAATGTTTTGGGGTAAAAAGAAAAGAACCTTTTTAATAAAAAGGGACAAAACAACATCTGTCTCTGTTTTTGTTTCTTCACATCAGGTGTAAAGTAGAATTCAGCTCCACAGGTGTTTCAAGCAAGAGCAACAGATAAGGGTACAAACGGCAAGGAAAGTTCATTTATTAATGCTGCATTCAGGTGCTGCTCAGCTGGTCCCAGTTTCCGCGTTGGGAAGTCGTTCTTCTGACTTCAGTGTGTTCACTTAGTTTCAGTTTGGAAAGTCAGAATGTTGTAACAACAGCAACAAACACCGTTGATGCTACGAAGAAGGAGAAGAAGACACGTGAACGTCTCTGTTCCAAGTTATAACTGAGCAAAAAGTTAATATGCAATACGTGAATTATTAAAAAGTATGTTAACGTTCACAAAACACATTTTGATTTTCAGCTCTGAGGAAAATCAGTCTTTCAAAAAATACATTTTGATCTTTATCAAGCTTCTTGTGTCATATCATAGCATCAGGATTTTCACTGATATCTTTCTTCATATAATTCAGATTTAAAAAACAAAGACACTCCCACTAAGACTGGATAATATGTCTTTAATATGACTTTACATTTTAGGCACGTTTGTCTCCCAGTAGATGGCAGCAGACTCCAAACAATCAAATATCATAATTCTCATTGACATTTTTCTGCACATACACACAGAGCGGAGACTTCCACAGGTAGATACTGAACATGAAATATAAACACAGTATTACTGAGCTTTATTTTGATAGTCACATGTTTCAGGGTTGACACATGGCTCGCTTTGTTTGTGGCTCGTGAGGAATTTTACATGAGGAAATCTTCACTCAGACTGTTTTCAGAGAGTCAAGTTGAAACTCACAACAGGAAGTAGGGTAGTTTACCTTTAAAAGTAAAGCAGCATGCTTCTTAATCAAGGCATGGAGACATACACAAAACACAATACCACTGAAATGAGACCAAATGCGTTCAGTGACGATTCTAGAGTCTGTTGGGGCCCTAGGCAAAAATCAATTGGGGGGCCCTCCAACCAGCGTTGCTGACTCCTCTTCCTCTTTTTTTCCTTTCTCTTTGTCTCTCTCCGATAGACGGCTTATTCCTCCTCATTTGTCTTTGGTGACTTTCATTGGCAGACTTTAGTTTTCACATCAATAATACATGCAACGCTTAGCAGGGCAACAAGAGTAAGAGCTGTCAGATGGTGCCCCCTAAAGGAGGCTTCCTACTGTCATTGCAAAATTTGAACATTTTGTGCCACTGCTTTGGTTTAAGTTTGTCAGCTCTCAGCCCCCCCCCCCGATACTGGTCTGGGGCCCCAAGCAATTGCCTGGCCTGCCTGTTGACAAGCAGCGCATCTGAATGCGTTGATGTTATTTGAATTTATAAAGTTAAAAGAACAACACATTTCTACGGTATTGTGTTCACCGTGAAACAAATAAATCTGCTGTTTTTCTGAATTAAAGAGTTTACTATCTTTCATAGGGCTGCCTGCCAACATTTAACTGCCCAGAAACCGGTCTTTCTTTATTATTATATGAAATAATAATAATAATAATAATAATAATACATTTAATTTGTAATGCACTTTACATTTTTGCAAAAAAATCTCAAAGTGCTACAGGAAAAAAAAGAAAAGAAATAAAAACAAATTTCATCAACTAAGCAACTAACGAAACTAAAAGCACAAGCAGAAGGCTTTGTTAAAAATGTGGGTTTTTAGGGCCCTTTTAAAAGCATCAGCAGACTGTATAAAGTGATAGTTGATATTTTTATTTTTGATAAACAAGACAATATATGCAGGAACCTAGCGCTTATATACAATATATGATTACTACAGAGACCCTGAAGACCCAAAAAGTAAACAAAAAAAATATTGTGCGTAAAGTCAATAAAAAAAAAGATCAATCAATAAAAAATACTTTTTGGGACTTCAGGGGCTCCGTAGATATATGAGATGAGCTGAGATTCAACTTTATTGTCATTACACATATACAAGTGTAGAGTAACGAAATGAGGTTTGGCATCTCACCAGAAGTGCAATAAGCAGAAAGTGCAACAATGTACAAGTAATTACAAAATTTACAGATGTAGACTAAAAAAAAGTGAATTATTGGGTATATATGGCTGGATTAATGGGATGCTATAGATATAAATAAATGCTATAAATATAAATATAAGTATATTCTTAGGATTATAATATACAGCATAATGTAATAATGTAATAATATATATATCTATACATAT